TGCATTATATAAATGCCAGTACATTAAGTTATCCCACATTGGCATTACCACCGCTAAAATATATACCGTCAGGTGAATATTAAGGTCCCTAATATCATAGCCACTAATGGCTGTATTATATACTGTCAGGTGAATATTGTTATCCCACATTGGTACTACCACCGCTGTATTATATACTGTCAGGTGAAGATTGTTATGCCACATTGGCATTACCACTGCTGCATTATATGTAATTGTCAGGTGAATATTGTTATCCCACATTGGCATACTTTTACCGCCGTATTATATACTGTCAGTGAATATTGTTATCCCACATTGGCATTACCACTGCTGCATTATATAATGTCAGGGTGAATATTGTTGGTCCCAGATTGGTGTTACCACTACCGCTGTATTATATACTGCTGTGGTGAATATTGTTATCCCACACTGGCATTACCACTGCTGTATTATATACCGTCAGGTGAATATTGTTATCCCAACACTGGTAATACCACCTTCGTATTATATACTGTCAGGGTCAAATATTGTTATCCCACACTGGCATTACCTTCACTGCTGTATTATATACCGTCAGGGTGAATATTGTTAGTCCCAATACTGGCATTACCACTGCTGTATTATATACCGTCAGGTGAATATTGTTATCCCACATTGGCATTACCAATTGCCGTATTTATATACTGTCAGGTGAATATTGCTGGTCCCACATTGGCATTGCCATTACCACTGCTGCATTATATATACTGTCAGGTGAATATTGTTATCCCACATTGGCATTACTTCACTGCTGTATTATATACTCTGTCAGGTGAATATTATTATCCCACATTGGTATTTCCACTGCTGTATTATATACCGTCAGGTGTGATTATTGTTATCCCACATTGGTATTACCACTGCTGTATTATATACCGCCAGGCAGAATATTGTTATCCCACATTGGCATTACCACTGCTGTATTATATACTCGTCAGGTAAATATTGTTATCCCATTACTGGCATTACCACTGCTGTATTATATAATCGTCAGGGTGATTATTGTTATCCCACACACTGGTATATAATACCACTGCTGCATTATATACTGTCAGGTAAATATTATTATCCCACACACCGGCATTACCAATTTCCTCGCTGTATTATATACTGTCAGGTGAATATTGTTATCCCATTACTGGCATTACCACTGCTGTATTATATACTGTCAGGTGAATATTGTTATCCCATTACTGGCATTACCCACTGCTGCATTATATACTGTCAGGTGAATATTGTTATCCCACATTGGCATTACCACTGCTGCATTATATACCATCAGGTGAATATTGTTATCCCACATTGGTATTACCACTACTGCTGTATTATATACCGTCAGGTAAATATTGTTATCCCATTACTGGCATTACCACTGCTGTAATATATACCGTCAGGTGAATATTGTTATCCCACATTGGCATTACCACTGCTGTATTATATACTGTCAGGTGAATATTGTTATCCCACATTGGCATTACCACTGCTGCATTATATACCGTCAGGTGAATATTGTTATCCCACATTGGCATTACCACTGCTGTATTATATACTGTCAGGTGAATATTGTTATCCCACACATTGGCATTACCACTGCTGTATTATATACTGTCAGGGTGAATATTGTTATCCCACATTGGTATTACCACTGCTGTATTATATACTGTCAGGTAAATATTGTTATCCCACATTGTACATTACCACTGCTGTGCATTATATACCGTCAGGTAATATTGTTATCCCACATTGGCATTACCACTTTGTATTATATACCGTCAGGTGAATATTGTTATCCCACATTGGCATTACCACTGCTGTATTATATACTGTCAAGGTATTGTTATTATCCCACATATTGCTGTATCCGTCACATTACTGGCATTACCACTGCTGTATTATATACTGTCAGGTGAATATTGTTATCCCACATTGGCATTACCACTGCTGTGAATTATATACTGTCAGGTGAATATTTGTTATCCCATTGGCATTACCACTGCTGCATTATATACCGTCAGGTGAATATTGTTATCCCATTACTGGCATTACCACTGCTGTATTATATACTGTCAGGTAAATATTGTTATCCCACATTGGCATTACCACTGCTGTATTATATACTGTCAGGTGAATATAGTTATCCCACATTGGCATTACCACTGCTGTATTATATACTGGCAGGTGAATATCCCACATTGGCATTACCACTGATGTATTCTATACTGTCAGGTGAATATTGTTATCCCACATTGGCAACACCACTGCTGTATTATATGCTGTCAGGTGAATATTGTTATCCCACATTGGCATTACCACTGCTGTATTATATACTTTCAGGTGAATATTGTTATCCCACTTTGGCATTACCACTGATGTATTATATACTGCCATTGTATTAATTGCCAAATTTATTCATTTTTTTCTTCCATTCAGTTAGTTTACAGTAATTTCTACTGATTTGTGCGAAACAGATATTATTATAACAAAACTGTAGATAACATTATTTTATTGTTGGCTTCACTCTGGCATCGTTTTGCGTGCAGCTTTCTTGGTTGACATTTTGTTTCAACTTCAAATCAAGAAGTAGCATCTGGAGGGTTGGTAAACGTGAACAGGGAATTGCCTCTGACATCACTTTTGCTGAAAAGGGCAAATATAGAACTGAATTCTGTTTGTCTGCTTCGCTGAGGAATCACCTAAAAAGCCCGTGAAGATCCGGGTTAGGAGTGATCTTGAACAACCCATGCTTGTCGTAAGAGGCGACTAACGGGGTCAGGTGGTCAGACTTGGTTGACAGATGTCATCGGTTCCCAATTGCGTAGATCGATGCTCATGCTGTTGATCACTGGATTGTCTGCCCAGACTCGATTATTTACAGAGCACCGCCACATAGCTGGAATATTGCTGAGTGCGGCGTAAAACTAAATTCACTCACTCACTCACTCACCAAACAACATTTAGCAAGAACCTTGTGAACAAGTCGTGCCTCTAGATCTAATCATTAGTTTCGGCATCTTTTGTCTGTGGCTGTTTAACACTGTGCAACATTACGGTGGTCTGTCTGGACCAGACAATCAACATCATGCTCATCGATCACTGTGTCAACCAAGTCAGCAAATCTGACCACCCGACCCGGATCTTCACGGGTCAGTTCAGGTATGAAAATCAGAGGTAGAAAATTCGCTATATTTGACTTTTTTAACTATATCAGTACATTAATATATTTTAACTATATACATGCAGCTTTGTTAAACAACATGTCCCAGTTCCATTCATTAAATCACAACGTAGAATGGTTCAGACTCCAGTATTTACAGACCGCCGTCATAGAGCTGCAATATTGTTGAGTGCAGCTTTAAACACACAGACAAACCTGCAAACACATGTTCCCAATTCCTTCATAGAATCCCAACAGATTTCTTCCATTTCTGGAAGTCTTATTTCTGTAACTGCCCATCGAAGAAATCCCCAAAGATAAAAATGGTCCACAAGGTTACAGTAGAATCAATCAATTACACAAAACGACACGGTAGGGATACATAAATATATACAATGGGATGCACTGATTCGTCCCACACAGAGAAAAAAAGTCACACGATTCCCTCGTCACCACTCACATCATTTGAACATGACATAAGAGAGTTCTTGTATGGTAAAGATCAATTCAGTTTCCCATGGGCAAACGGTTACCCAGATGGGAAAAGCTTGGTTATGGCTATCACAGAGACAACTGCTCTTCAGGGGACAAAAAACTATTAACTGTTTCGTTGCTGTTTATCGTTTTTTCTGCTTTTGTTTGTTTGCTGGTTTGTTCTTTAAACGCTGCACTCGGTACTTTTCCATATATACACATGGAACTTAATTAAGAACATCCCGATTTGTTCATATTGCCATGAAACTGAGCAACCATTACCATTCGTATGTATACTGGAAAGCTTAAACGCTATTGTTTCCTGAAAGTTGACATTTTGGATTAAACAAAAACAATAAAATCATGAAAATTTGCAATATTTCAGTTTACAAAATGTCATGGAAACGTCAACGATGTTTTGTCAACAAAATGTATCCCTGTACAACTATGGGGCTGCAGAGTTCCAAGATGGGAGAGGTGAGTGTCTCTCAGTATAAAAGGTTCTCTGTCTTCTTCAGACAACAAATCACATGAAAAGTGTGCGTGCATATCCACCTTGTGCACGGATGACTACTTTGACCCTCCTCCTCATGCTTGTCGTGAGTCTCCGGATTGGCTCCAGAGGCAGCTGCTGCCTCTCCCGGCGCAAAGCTGCTTCCAAACATGTCAGATCTTGTACAGGCGGATCCAGTGCTTGCACTCGGCTTCTAAGAATGCCCCAGGCAGGCTCCAATGGGTTCAGATCCGGGCACATAGCAGGCCATGGAGGTTTGGTTACTGCGTTGTTAGAGAAAAACTGTCACAAGTCGGGAACGGTGTGGTCGGGCGTTGTCATCCATAAATACAGGGCGAGTGGCTAATGGGTGGTTATCTTGTGGCACAAAAACAGGATCCATCATGTTCCGGATGTCGTGGTCGCCATTGAGATTTCCACGAACAGTTACCAATTCTTAAGTCCAGTTTACAATCATGGGAGAGACAACCCCAGACCATGACACATCCGCCACCGTAAGGAACTGATGCTCTGATGTTCTTCGGCTCATTGGCACTGTTCCTGGTCCTCCATACTCGCTGGCGCCCGTCTGTGACGTGCAATAAAAAGTGACTCTCATCCGACCAATGCACCTTCCTGCATGACATCAAATTCCGGGGTAAACATCACACAAAATGAGATCGCTTGTGAAGATTGGTCAAGGCTTTACGCTTGATCACCCTTCTTGCCCTCATCCCATGTGCTTTTATGCTGTTTCATACAGTCCTATTGAACAGACGTCTGTTGGGGAGCCATAGGTGCTTCAGGACGCCACCTGTAGTGAAAGGCTGACGTCTCACAAGGCTTGCTAAATCCCGATCCTCAACTTCTTTCGGGGTTGACCTGGCCTTGGTCAGTCCTTGATCATTTTGGTTTGACGGTGTTTTTGAACAAGTCGACTAATGGTGTGGTGAATGTCACACTGTCGCCCAATAGCCCTGCATGTCATCCCGGTGTCGTGCATTCCAATAATTTGCCATCTTCTTGCTTCTGGCAGTCTTCTTCTAGTAGTCTCCAGTTACTGGTAAAATCATTAAAAAGTTTTGGCGTTTTATATAGTTAGCCACATTGAGTTTATAGTGCTTTATGAGGCAACCGTGGGTAGTGTGCTTCAACTGCATATTGGGATGTTTTTTGACGTAAGTTAGGGGGTGCGTAATTAAGTTCCATGTGTATATATATGACTGCGGTCTGAAAATTCACAAGTCAGGTCAAGACAAGGATTGATATCATGAGCATCGATCTACGCAAATAGGCTGCGATGGCATGCATAAACAAACACCCGATCCCGTTAGGTACCTCTTTGAACAAGCAGGATCAGTTCTACCCCGGATCTTCCATGGTTCTTTCGTCTTTTGACAAATGGAATTTGGAACATGTAGGTTAATTATGGGTAACTAGTTCAGGAATTACTATCATATAATTGCGTAGATCAATGCCTATCGCGTTAATCACTGTACTGTCTGGTTCAGACTTGACTATGTAAGACACAGTCATATAACTGGAATAAAAAACAATCTATATCAGCATAATGAGCAAGTGAACGAGTTTGTTATGCAACACGAAGCAATGTCACAGTGTGGCATGTGCTTCACACATTGTGCCCATGTCGGGAATCGAACCTGGTCTTTCAGCGTTACGAGCGGACGCTTTAACCACTAGGCGACCCCACTGCCCCCACATAAACATAAAGCAGTGTTCTCTTTATTTCAGAACAGAACAGAACAGAATTTATTCAGTATAAGGGACTCATGGTCTAGAGTACAATAAAGTTAAGTAAATACATTTGAGCATCACGTGACAGTCACGTTAAGAGTAAATTAGATACATTTCTTAAAAGATATGGCTACATGTATAATAATTTTCACATTTTTTGTGCTTAGAATACTATGCATATTTAGATGAGATTGAATATATTTTTACGAATAGCTGAATATTTCTCACAAACAAAACATCTAGTGTCCCGATATTGCATAATTTACAAAATGAATTACTCAAATCGTTATCTTTAGATTTACAATAATTGTTAACTTTAAGGTTGTGTAAAGAAATTCTAAATTTACAATATGCTCTGATTCAAGATATGCCATTCAAATGGAGAATTACATTTCAGGCTCTAAAAGAGAATATAAATTACTATAATATCTTAAAAACTTTGAACTATTAATACTTGCGTGCCAAGTTTGGAAAGATAGTTTTTCAGACGTTGAGCTTGGTAAATCACACTTCAAACAATGCTCTAAAGTGAGTGAGTGAGTGAGTGAGTTAAGTTTTACGCCGCTCTTTAGCAATATTCCAGCAATATCACGGCGGGGGACACCAGAAATGGGCTTCACACATTGTACCCATGTGGGGAATCGAACCCGGGTCTTCGGCGTGACGAGCGAGCGCTTTAACCACTAGGCTACCCCACCGCCAATAATGTATGGGAACACCGCGCAAACTCATTCGATTGTGTTTATCTTACGATTCTTCCGCGAAGTAAAGTGCGTTTTGGCGATCAGACACCAACGTTTCTGTTCAGAAGCGTCCGGATTAATACACTGTGGTATATCGGGCAGGATTTCTCTATAGGAACAGACGGTCGGCATATGGTCCGATTCACTTCTAGAAACAACTGTCGAGTTCATGGCAAGATCAAATATATCCGTGGAAGCAATGAAATAATCCACCACACCTGTTTCCTTGACGTGACACATATGTAAAGTTGCCTACTGCGTCACTTACAGTTCGACCATTTACAAGATGGATATTTAATTGTTTACACAATTCGATGAGTTCTCGGTCATAACCATTGCTACCACTGTCACTAGACTGCCTTGTCTTACTGAAGAATCTGTTTTGTCTTATTGAAAGTTGTTATATGTAAAAGACGACCTTCTAGAGTTCCGATTCCACTACATTTTGCCAACTCCTATTCAGTGTATCTTCCTGGTGGACATATATGAAACCAGTGAAAATGTTGTCACTTCGTTTTATACAACGTATAGAAAATAGCATGTATCCACTCAGAATGCACCCCAATGAAATGATGTGCCTGATCCATTCGTATACACACAGGCAAACCACTTGAATATCGGCCAGCTGTTGACACTCGTGTTGGTTCACACACGTACCATTCATAGCCTCAGTATATATTTTGCAAAGGACAGGCTGCATTTAGAAACAGAGTTTCTGTAAGTGAGTGAGTGAGTTTAGTTTTACGCCGAACTCAGCAATATCCTAGCTGAGTGGCGGCGGGTTAGATTCAATGTCGCCACAAATTAACAGAGTCTGCTTCCAAAACAACGCTGGCTGGGAGCGTCATACCGGGAACATCACACGACGACATTTTTTACTCGTTGAGAAAAATGTGCCAATTTGAGCCCTCCATGCTTCAGTTGTTATACCCATTGTGCATCAGACTATCATAATGATATTCGGAAACAAGTGTATCGACTTCATATCTTCACTTACAATTGTCCTTTTTTCAAACACAGCCGTGAGCGTGGCTTCTTTCAAACCTCAAGGTCACGTGATCACGTCTCCATTTCGTACAATACCACGTGTGATACAAACACAAGAAAATTATGCATTAAATAACAAAATAACTCGGTTCATTCAAAAATGGTTTAAAATGTAAGCATTACATTAGGACTATTCCATGAGTTGTTCTTAACTCCCAGCAACACACACTTTCTTATATTGTGTCCCTTTTTACATGTATGAAGCAAGAAGATTACTTATTCTACCAAAACCTTTGTCTTTAGCTAGGTCGGTGGCTGTCTGAGCCAGTTGGTTCCTGGCATGAATGTCTGCTAGACCACGTGCCAGAAGAAATCTCACAGCCACCAAATTGTCTCCAATACAGGCGCAGTGGAGTACGTTGTTACCGACATCATCCACTAGTGACATATCAGCTCCTTCCTCTACAAGTAACTCCATCACTTCATGGCACCTTTGCAATATCGCAAACATCAATGGTGTTCTGTTGTGCTGCCCCTTACTGTTGATGTCCACCACGCTCTGTGAGAGGAGATACTTCACAGTCTTTACATCTCCTCCCATACAGGCCTGATGGAGGATGTTGTCACCGAACTGGTCCACAAGTGACAAATCTGCTCCTTCATTCACAAGAAACTCAACAACTTCCTTGTGTTCCGACCTCGCCGCTATCATCACAGCTGGCATTTGCCAGGAGTGGAAAAAGTTAATGTATACTTTACCCTCCGACAAAATGCGTTTAACCTTGGTTAGGTCTCCCGCTCTGCATGCATATGACAAGTTGGCTTGCACTGCTGGATTAGGTTGACCTAAAGGGACAAGAGTCGCTGATCAATAAAAGATGGAAACATTACGAGAAAAATAGATTGAGTTGGGCCTAACACATCTATGAACATGGTTTCAGTGATATCAGAGCGTGTTAACTTGAGGTAGGAGGAAAACCACGATGAGGTATCTGGCTTTTATCTATTTTATGAACGGTTACAGATACTTGGGTTGTCAGTCCATATTTGAAGAGGTCATTATGCGACGATGTCGCATTGGCCATGCAAGTTATACTCATGAATACCTGTTAAAAAGTGAGGATCCTCCGTCTTGTATCTCTTGTGATGAAAGAATCATGGTCAAGCATGCCCTGGTTGACTGCATTGATTTTTCCATCACAAAGGATAAATATTTCAATGTCAAAACAGTTAAGGACCTTTTCAGTTAATCATTGTTTTAGTATGTTAAAGAAATGGGGTTGGTAGATAAATTTGGATTAAACTTGTGTAAATAGATAAATGTTTTTTGGTTGGTAGTTTAGAATAACAACTGATATTGTTAGTGGTTGTATCCTCGAAGGGGGTTAAAGTACTTTAGAATTATTGTCCTCCTGAGAGGATACGTAAGTCCCAAAACAATTAAAGTAAATTTAGACATACTACTATTATAGCCCCAGTATATATATATATATATATATCTTAATTTATGACCAGATTGTCCAAAATTGCTAACATCTGAAGGGATGGTGTAAATCCAGCAAGGTGCCATGCAGGAAGCAAATTTACCATTAGTACCCATGGACCCTAGTGTGGTGACCCATGGTCAGTTGTTGGCAATCTATAGCCTGTTTTTATATTTTATTGTCTATAGTTAAATCTATAGTTAAAATGTTTAGATTTAATTACTGGTTTTAGGTTTGTACCTGTGATAGTGTAGTTGTTATGCTGTCCTTCGTTGACAGGTTTCTAAAAGGTTTGCTTTTAATTACTATAAATCTATAACTTGATTTAGTCACGATCTTGCTGAAATACTGCCGTTGTAAAATCAATGAAAGAAACTCTGATTGAAAAGAAAAAGGAAACAATATTTTAGTAGTTTGAATATGGTTATGAAAATAAAGGGAACACGTGATTAATTATTCCTACTGTGGTAATGCTTTTGAACACCTCATCGTCGTAATGGACGGATGAAAGTCTTGGTACTGGCATGAATCATGTAAGTTCAAATTTCTAATTCTTGTGTACTCACGTATTCCTTCTTGATCGTGTCCACTTTCCGTAGTTTCAAGGTTCAGTGATGCCCGTCTATGCTCAGTGGTTCCGTCAGTTGATGCTGGGGACAGATATGTCACTTTCAGAAACACCGAAACAATTTTTGTCTCAATTTGAAACACTAAGTAAAATTACAGTGGCAGTGAACATTTCATGATTGGTCTTAAATTGTAATGATTCCATGGCCTTTGAACGAATTGCATAACATATTTTTTATATTCAAACACATATATTGGTCTTATCCCAAGATGCAATGATCAGCAGGTAACTAAACTTATTAATGATAGTCTGACTCCATCGTCTGGTACCAAATTACCAAATGCATAAATCAATGTCATACAGCTGGAAAATTACTGAGTGTCATGTTAAACAACAAATAAGAAATAAAAAAGGTACAAAATATAACGCCAACGCCACGTCAATTTGTACCTTGATTTGTCATTGAAAAAGATTAATATAGACCAAATGCAACAGTGCGTGACAGTTATACGAGCGGTTCACTGAAAATAGGGACGGTGGGGTAGTCTAGTGGTTAAAGCGTCCGCTCGTCACGCTGAAGACTCAGGTTCAATTCCCAACAAGGGTACAATGTGTGAAGCCCATTTCTGGTGTCCCCCGGCGTGATATTGCTGGAATATTGTTAAAACGGCGTAAAATCATAATCACTTACTGAAACTCTTTGATGACATCAGGTGTTTATGTAAAAAGGTCATCGGGACCACCACGCACACAGATGTCATAACAAATGTAGGTGTTGTGGTCTGCCACACCCAGCAATTTGCCTGCAAGACACGGCTGTAAACCTTGCAGTGATGCTTCAGAACCTCCTGTTCTGTCCTAACATGTCTGGGAATGTATGTGCTGTGGAGTGCCACACCCAGCAATATGCCTGAAAGACACGGCTGTAATCCTTGCAGTGATGCTTCAGAACCTCCTGTTCTGTCCTAACATGTCTGGGAATGTAAGTGTTGTGGTGTGCCACACCCAGCAATATGCCTGAAAGACACGGCTGTAATCCTTACAGTGATGCTTCAGAACCTTCTGCTCTGTCCTAACATGTCTGGGAATGTAAGTGTTGTGGTCTGCCACACCCAGCAATATGCATGCAAGACACGGCTGTAAACCCTTCAGTGATGCTTCAGAACCTCCTGTTCTGTCCTAACATGTCTGGGAATGTAAGTGTTGTGGTCTGCCACATCCAGCAATATGCCTGCAAGACAAGACTGTAATCCTTACAGTGATGCTTCAGAACCTTCTGCTCTGTCCTAACATGTCTGGGAATGTAGTGTTGTGGTCTGCCACACCCAGCAATATGCCTGCAAGACAAGGCTGTAATCCTTACAGTGATGCTTCAGAACCTCCTGTTCTGTCCTAACATGTCTGGGAATGTAAGTGTTGTAGTGTGCCACACCCAGCAATATGCCTGAAAGACACGACTGTAATCCTTACAGTGATGCTTCAGAACCTCCTGTTCTGTCCTAACATGTCTGGGAATGTAAGTGTTGTGATCTGCCACACCCAGCAATATGCCTGCAAGACAAGGCTGTAATCCTTACAGTGATGCTTCAGAACCATCTGTTCTGTCCTAACATGTCTGGGAATGTAAGTGTTGTAGTCTGCCACACCCAGCAATATGCCTGCAAGACACGACTGTAATCCTTACAGTGATGCTTCAGAACCACCTGTTCTGTCCTAAAATGTCTGGGAATGTAAGTGTTGTGGTGTGCCACACCAAGCAATATGCCTGCAAGACACGACTGTAATCCTTGCAGTGATGTTTTAGAACCTCCTGTTCTGTCCTAACGTGTAGTGTTGGCAGAGTAAATAGCTCACATGAGGTTGTTTGGTTGCACTACTCACAAGCGACGCACTGGGGACTTGGTCTCCCAATAAGGATGATTTTATAACACTTCGGACAGCACTGGCTTCCGTCCTCATACATGTTTGTGATTTCCTGAAACAGAGAAGCATGTTTTGTACACAAAGAGCCACAGTGCTTTCCATATGACTTGTCGATGACGATCATAATAATGATGATTGATTGATTATGTGTGTGTGTGTGTGTGTGTGTGTCTTTCTGTCTGTCTCTCTCACTCTCTCTCTCTCTCTTTCTTTTCTCTCTCTCTCTCTCTCTCTGTTTGTGTGATGGTGTGAGATCGCATACGTGACAGCAATAATTATTTCGTTTTTTACTATGCAAGAGATATGTGAAAATACATCTGTGAAATCAGTATTACAGGCGCTGAATATATAACCCATCAAGAAACATCTTCGACCTATCTCCCTGAAAATGGAATGGTTTCTCCCTAATGCCAGTTACCTGTGTCAGGACACTGTTTGAAGTACACATGACACCGCCTTCCGTTGAATACTCAGTGGTATTGAAAACACAGGTTGAATCAGAAAACAGGAACTGCGAGCACCCTGTGGTACGTCTACAAAGGAATGCGCACATCTTGGATCCAAATAGCCTCTTGGAGTTGGTGATGTTTTCAGATGATCCGTTAGTCATTGAAATCACGCATATAAGCATCCATAGTTTCATTGCCATTGTGTCTCTTAAAATGATAGCGTACCTGGCGGAGAAAAGAAAACCATCCACTGAAATATCCCCCTAAAAGTACTGTTAATATCTGTACACAGTAAACTATCAACACGCAAAGGCATATGCTAGACAGTACAGTATGGAAAGGTGAAACCACGAGATCCAACTAGGGCTTCAACGAGTCCATTTTTTTGGACTCGAGTACTCGAGGGGTGAGACTCGACTCGGACCCGAGTACTCGAAATTCATACCTTTCAAGCAAACGTTCAATCGTCAAGATAGTTACCTAATCATTTTCAGAAGTGAAATCTCAATCGATGTATAATATTTACTCTCATCTGCAGACTTGTAACAACTAATACCATACAGCCACACCGTGTGAGGAGTAAACTATTTAATCTAGGTGTTAATGAAAACATTATCAGATGGGTAAAAGAATTCAGGGTACATAGAACTCAGTATGTCAGTGTCAATGGCTATCAATCTTCTTTTCTCTCAACCTCTGCTGGAGATCCACATGGCTGTGTTCCTTCGTTCGTACGCTTCGTTTTGTATACCAATCATCATGACTGTTACTTGTCAATATATGACTTGTTTACTGTGAAATTTGCAGATGACGCCACTGTTACTGGCCTAATTTCTGATTCTGAACATTATTATCATCAAGGCATTGACAAAACCGTAATGACAGTTTTTTATCAAACCTTTATTCAAAGTGTGTTGACCTACAATTTTCTATGTTGGTATGGGGATCTGTCTCATCGCAACAAAAACAGACTTTTCAAAATTGTTAATACTGCTTGCAAGTTTTCTGGAGTGTATTTCGAGTATAGTCAAAAAGGCAGCTAAAATTAGATTTGATAGTTGAGATATTTGATCTCACCATTTTGAACTACTTCCTTCTGGACGCTGCTGTCGATTACCTTCCCTCAAAACAGAGCTCGACAGTCTTTCATACCATCAAGTATTCGTGAATGCTACAAATATTTTGAATCATCATCATGTGATTAGAACTACAATTATTCAACCTCTTTACCTATGTGGTTAATTGAATTATATCATGTCAGTTTTATTTGTAAATAGCATTCGTTTTGAGCATGTAATTATTGTGCATATTTTTGTGAACTGTGTATATATTCATTTTGAGACAGTTTGGATGTATGAGAATTTCCTCCGGGATAATAAAGTTACTAGTATATCTTTTTCTTAATATTAGACGTTAACGGCCGTTCATGCTTAGCACATGGCAGACAGTCCGTCAACGTCAATAATTCGAGTTATCTCCCCTTTTCGAGTCCTCGAGTCCTTGAAAATTGACTCGAGTCCAGCTAAACCCGACTCGTCCTCGAGTACTCGAGTACTCGAGTGGAAGCCCTAGATCCAACGACTAAACATCATATAGGCATGCTTAAATCTTGGTCCCAAACATTGTGTAATGAAAGCCATTGAACAGCAAAGACTTGGCTCAAGCTCAAAAGAACGATTTACTTTTGGAATGGTAGAGACAAACAAATTGGTGTCAAGAGTGCCAGCGCTGGGCCAGCCGTCGTTGGAAAAACAATAAGTTTTTGGATGAGTCAAGGTTTGATGTGGACTTTATTTGGACAGAGTGTGATGTAGACAGGATGAACGTTTTCATGCCATTAACGTTTGACTAAACGATTATTAGCAACATGAAGTTAGAAACGGATTCGGGATTGGGGATTCGAATCCCGAATCTGATTTTATTTTCACATTCGGGATTCGAATCGCAAATCTGAATATTTTTTTCACATTCGGGATCTGAATCCTGTATCTGTATTTTTTTCTCATATTCGGGATTCGAATCCCGAATCTGATTTTTTCACGTTTGGGATTCGAATACCAAATCTGAATATTTTTTCACATTCGGGATCTGAATCCTGTATCTGTATTTTTTTCTCATATTCGGGATTCGAATCCCAAATCTTTTTTTTTACGGGTTTTTCTTTTGCACATTCGACACTCTGCATTGGGCATTCGGTATTTGGTATTTGAACTCTTATTATGCATTTCTTCAACACATCTGGAATTCGGAACTTTAGCGTCCTTGTAATTATACTCTTCGCACCTTCATCCGTCAAACCTATCAATCCTCGACGTTGCCGTGCAGACAGGCAACGGTCCTGAAGCTCTTCTCTGCTTGCAGGCGTGAACCTTCGATCAAGATCGAGCAAAGACGAACAATGTCAATATTCATTATTTCATCCCCCTTCTAATGTACCAGGTGCTCGTTGTGTCCCTGGGTAACTTAAAAACATAAACAACCAAACCACAGTTTCCGATATTTGAACCTCAAATTTGAGTTTTCGGGTTTCGGGATATGAATCCCGAATCTGATTTTTTTTTTCATATTCGGCATTCGAATCCCAAATGTGAAAAAATATTCAGTTTTGGGATTCGAATCCCGAAAGTGAAAAAAAAAATCAGATTCGAGATTCGAATCCCCAATCCCCCAATCACCAATCCGTTTCTAACCTCATGTTCCCCCATATTTG